AAAGAATGCTAGCATTACAGAGTTTGAGTACTGGATGGTGTTGGGAACACCTCACAAAACCAGCAATGTTTGGAATAGGGAGAACAGGACACCAAGTACAGCAGGGAGCTGTTGGGAAGAGCTAGTGGATCAAGAAGTCTAATGTAACAGCCTTTGCTTTGAGGTGTGAGAGAGGAATCAGAAGGGTTTATGTAGATGTCTTAGTGTTTCTATTGCTGCAACAAAACACCATGACCAAAGAGCAAATTGGGGAGCAAAGGGTTTATTCCACTTACATTTTCACACTGCTGTTAATCACTGAAGGAAATCAGGACAAGAACTCAAAAGGGCAGGAACCTGGAGGGGAGCTGTTTGCTGACCTGCTTCCCATAGTTTGTTCAGCCTGCTTTCTAATAGAATCCAGGACCTTCAGCCCAAGGATGGCTCCACCAACAAAGGGCTGGGACCCTCTCCACTGATCACTAATTGAGAAAATGTCATACAGCTGGATCTCACATCGACATTTTTTTAACTGAGTCTTCCTCCTCTCCAATGACTCTAGCTTGTGTTAAGTTGACACAAAACCAGCCAGTACAAGAGGTGACCACCAAAGTTGAATTGTTTCTTAGAAGAGCTGGTTCCAATAGCAAACTGTATGGTCATATTTGAGGATGGAGGCAGAAACCAAAGAAACTGATAGAGAGACAATGTACCTAGAGCACAGCCTGTTGAAGTGTGATGCTAATTAGTCTTATCAATAATCACTTGGAGTCTGATATTGAGGGTGAAAGCTGAAAGATCAAAGAAGCAGAGCATCAGTCACTAGAGACTTTCTACCCCTATGAATCCTCAGACCAAATGGGGGCGAGATCCTGTCTCTACCCACCTTACATTCCTGTCTCTCTACCTCCTGATTGTGCTGGATTAAAGGTGTGAGCCTCCCAAGTGCTGGGGTTAAAGGTGTGTGGCAACATCGCCTGTCCTTTATGGTTAACTAGTGGCTACTTCCACCCTCTGATCTCCAGGCAAACTTTATTCATCAGAACACAAGCAAAATATCACACAACATTCCCCCTTTTGTCTATAGGCAAGAACAAAATATCACACAACAGCCCGGAGATGTGAAGGGGGCTCAGGTACACAATCCCAGGCCAAGATCCCTGAGGAAGTAAAGTGATTAGATTTTAAGTAAGAATTATTGGAATTATCATGGAAGGAATTAGCAATCTTAAAGACTGTCTAGAGAATTTAAATGCATAGCCATTTCATGAACAGGAATGAGTTGTAAAAGAAATATTGTTTATCTTCATGGTACAATTCTACTCTATGATTTATTCCTAAGCAAGGAATATAATGACACCTGTAACCAAATACTTATATGCAGGAAGAGTGAGCGCAACATTATTAGTAATGACAGAAAATAGGAAATCATGTAAATGCTGCATAAGAGCACATCATAGTACATCGATCATAAGCAATGTAATGGAAAGCTTCAAAATCATGTTACCCAGCAGCAGAATGTGACATAAAGTTAATATCCAGTAAGGGTTATTTTTATTGCTATTAAAAACATATGGATAATAGTTTATTAAAATTGCATGTTTCTGAAAAATCTAGGAACATAAGAAAATCTGTTTAAAATTACAATCCTAGCATACTGAATGCTTCCATATGCATTCTTCATATTATATAAATATATTTTAATTGTATTCTTTCCCTTACCCCAAGTATTCTCAGACCCTCCCACCTCCCTATCCACTCAGTTTCAAGTTATTTTCTTTCTAAGAAAAAATATACAAAAACAAAAGCAAGCAAACAAACTATTAAGACAAAAGCACTGAAACAAAACAGAAAAAGGATACAGAAAACATGAACCTCATTTTGTGTTGTCAAATGAATCTTGGGTATGGGCTTGCCCTGAGTGTGGTTGATGGTCACTGTCACTCCCTTGGAGAAAACTGATTTCCCCTTTACCAGTGGTTATCAATTGCAAAAACTTCATTTTACTGCTGCTCCTTTAACAAAACAAGAATAGTAGATTTTCCCCTAGGCTCATGACCTGTGTAATCTCAGGTTCATGGCCACTTTCATAGTGCCAGGTATGGGTTCCATCTCATGGAGAGGGCCTTAATTCCAACCAGGATAGTGGATTACTCCCATAATATTTGTGCCACTATAGCACCAGTATATCTGACAGGCAGGTTGCTGTTGTATGCCATATAATTTGTATTTAAGTGATATTAATGATTACCTTTCTCCTCTGGCAGCATGCAACGTACCTTCCAGCATAATGAATACTAATTAGTAGAGGTGCAGCTTCTAGTTAGGCACCAACTCAGCTTTTCTCTGCTCAATGACATAAGAAGCATTGTCTTCGATAATAGGACTTCGATACCATCAGATTGTAGAGAGGAACCAATAGCCTTGGTAGTGATCTGTGATGTTGCAGGGGGTAGGGTATATGCAGGAATTCTTTGACAACAGAATATAGTCAATTGCTAGTCTTGTGAGTTTTACTCTGTGGCATAATATATCTATTTGGGGGCATTGTCTCCCCCATTATTAGGTAACTCTAGTTAAATTACTTTCATATATTTGCATATTTTATGAAACTTCTATAATAGCAGGTTTCCACATGACTTTTCAAAAGGTCTTTAAAGTTAGTAATTCTCTCCCCATCTGCCCTCCTATACCCTTCTCTATTTAATCAGGTAGACACTGTCATGGTCTATGCACCAACTACCCATGCCTATTCTCCATTGTTCTTACTGCTTGATTTTATAATTAGTTCCCTGTTTCTCAAGAAGTCTATTTTTGCTGTATGAATACAATTTTGATGCAGTATATGATTAATTTGAAAAGAAATGATTTTACAATACTCAGCATTTTCATCAAGGAACAAGATTATACTCTGATGACTCACCTTTATGTTAAAAAGCCAAGTAATTTATTTACAAAGCATATCATGTTTATATGACATTCTATGTTGTTTATTTCTAGAGTATTTTCTATAATGTTAATGAATCATCAAAGGATCTCTCTAGATTTTATAAGCTGCTTTTTCATTCAGCCACTTACTTCTCATGTTAGGTCAGTGATTCCTTAGCTGATTCTTTCAGATTGCTCTGTTGATTGGCATTTTACTAGGCATTCATATCCCCAAGCTTATTTCAGTGGATCTGAATATTCAGAATCTGTGAAATACTGTAAATGTTGAAAGAATAAGTGGGAGTTTATCCTTATTTCTGATTCAAATGTTTTGTATTAAGTATAAAGAATATTGTAATTTTTAAAAGAATTACTGACTGAGGAAGTTTCTTTCCAATATTAAAGGAAGAATGTATGCATTATTTACTAAGAAAAAAGGGTTAGGTTTATGCTGCTAATAAAAAAAATACTTATGTACAAGTCTTAAACCAGTGGAAATTGTCATATGGATGGAATTTAAATAAGGTAGAGAACATGGAGGAAAAAATAAAATTGTGGCCTCAACACAATGGGTAATCTTCCAATGTAAATTAATAATCTTGGGAAGCTGGAGAGATGGTTCAGGGGTTAAGGGAGTTTACCACTATCCCAGAAGCCCAACTTTAGTTCCCAGGACCCACATTGGGCATCAAACAATGGCCCATAATTCTAGCTCCAGAAGAATGACACCCTCTTCTGGTCTCTAGGGTTACTAAATTTACATACAGAAAGCCACATGCATACATATATACACATGAAGTTGGTTGTTTTAATTTAAAAATTATGGAGAGATAGAAGCAAATTTCAACAATACTGAAGGATTCTTATCATCATGAGCTTTTGGTGTGAACTGTGTGTTGGTCTTTGTGTTCTGAGTATTTTAATAGCAATCTATGCTGTATAGAATAACAAAAAAAATATGTTGATTCAATGAAAGAAAAACATCCTGGTATGACTTCAGGCTCTATATTGGAGAGAAATTGCTGAAAAGAAGGCATTGTAGAGGATCAAATTTCAGGGTCATAAATTTGGTTGGGAACTGTTGAATTTGATGTTGCTATAGAACATTCAAGATGAAATAATATAACTGAATTTGGAGCCAAAAAGAACAGGACATACACAGAGTTCTGGGCAGCTGTGGCTTTGCAGAGTGCATAATGCAAGTCATCTACAGCAATGATATGAAGAGGACAGGGCAGGCACTACCCTGGTGATGGTCTCAGAGTGAACAACCATTTGCAGACCGAAGGGAAAGGAAAGACATTAGTCACAGTGTGGGAAGTTTCAGAAACAAAGGAGAGGAAAGTGATGAGAAATAGGGTTCTTTGAGACACATGGGGTGCTGTTGAACTACAGAATTGTTTGAGAGGAGATTATTTTTGTCTTTTGTGTGAGAAGTTTCAGAAAACTATGAAGATGAAAGTCAGAGTAGTCTACCGATGTTCTAACGTAAAAAAAAAAAACAAATAGATGGGTACTTTGTGGCCATGTGTATGTATAGTTATGTATGTATGCATATAGATAAATAGAATGGTGAACAGATACTGTATTCTGAAAAACCCATAAAAAATAAAGTACATATGGGCTATGTCTCTGTGTGTAAGAAATTCAAAGAGAATTCTCTCTGTGGAAGTTTCTTACAGCAAGAGTTGTCCTGGGTCCATGGTTCCAAAGAAGAAGATGGCCAAGTGTGACTATACGAATTTGTGAGGAAAAGCATCTCAGTCTGTAAAATGTGACTAAAAATCACTGGACTCTATGGCACACAACAAAGGTACCTGAAATAATGTGTCAGTTGGGGTTTCTCTGGGATCTTCTGCATTACTGTCAGCACAGAGAGTATCAGAGATAGGGTCAGGTACACACAGTGTGGAAACAACTCCATGGAGGGGCCTGCCAGACAAGGACTAAAACCAGTGAAGAGGATTATCATCTACCTCTCCTCAAGTGGGGTCACAGCTCCACCCATCACAGCCAGCTAGTATTTTGGTCCAGCCCAGCTGCCAGAGAACAGGGACAGGTGCTGGCCCCACAGGTTTTGGTTTGAGTCTCAGTCACTGTGGTATGTTTTCGGCGGAGGAACCAAGCTCACCGTCCTAGGTAAGTGGCTTTAATGCACCTTCCCATTCAGCTCAACCCTTGTTGTCTTTCTTGGAAAGGTCTGTTTTTTCCCTCTGGGAACCTCTTCTTATCTGCCTTCCTAAGACTTAAGGACTGTATCCTTAGCCTTCTCTATGGTGACTAGGGGAGATAAGTGTTTTAGAGTAATCTGCAGAAAGGGCCAGAAGATCAGAATCATCTGGCCTCAGATTCTAATAAATATGCTGCGATCTCACGGGCTTTAGTTAGGGTCAGGCAGGAGTCAAGGGCTCCATCCTTGTTCTCAGACAGATTAATCATTGGGGACCATTGACTGGGTCAAAGAAGGACTACTAGGACTCTGTCAGAGCCCACAGTATCTTTATAGGGTGTCAAGGGTTGGATCTAGAGATGTAGGTCCTGCTTCCAGGCACTTAGATTACCTAAGTGGGGACTGCAGAGGTATAATGAAGGAGTAGGCTTGTCATAGTCTTCAGTTCTCTGATCTTCTACTGAGCTGATGAGGTCCTCTAGACAGAGAGACCGCACTGAGTAGTAGAGTAATCAGATCCTGCTCATCTAAGGATGATGGGGGATTCTGTCTATGAAGCCCCGTATCCCTGGGTTATGGTGTCTCGTGCTTCCATTGTCTGCTTTCTATCTTCTTCAAATGGCATGTTAAACTTAGGAGGTCAGGAATGAGGGACAAACTTGGGGTTTCAGAATGCTCGCTGACTGTCAGGGAAGCAGGTTGCTGCTGTGAGCAAGTGACTGCAATGCTCTTCCATCTGAGTGAAGAAACCTCTTGAACACGGTGAGCATAGAAGGAATGGTTCAGGTCAAAATGTGCAGGAGGCATCAGAGCCCTGGAGTAGCCTCAGAGCTTCTCTGAATGGAACACACTGCCCAGTGGAAAAGCTGTGTGGGTTGATGTAGAGACTCTGTGGTCCAAGATAACAGGAGGTTCAGTGTCCCCGGGGTGCTGGAGACAAAGAAGGGGCCTCCTCAATTAATGAAAATGTGATCTTCAAAGCATGGTGGAATATAACCTGTTCACCAGAGAGCTCTACCACCTCAGGAATAAAGAGGAGATGGGCTGGGGAAGGTAATCCAAAATGGGGTAAATTCCAAGTTAGATGATAGACAATAGGGTGGAGAGAGCACAGCCATGCCTGCTGACAGTGTCCAGGTCATGTAACATGGGAGAGTGTCCAGGAAAAGGCTACTAAGAAGGCTGTACTCACGGAGGCTCAAGGGGGCAGATGAGAAAGAAGAGGAAGATCCAGGTGAATAAGATGACCAAAGTGAAGAGTCACTGAGATTTTGATGTTTTGTATTTTGTCTCCTGAATCAATCCCCTTCTTTTATTCACACAGGTCAGCCAAAGTCTACTCCCACAGTCACAGTGTTTCCACCTTCATCTGAGGAGCTCAAGACAAACCAAGCCACAGTGGTGTGTATGATTAACGACTTCTACCCGGGCAGTGCAACAGTGACCTGGAAGGCAAATGGTGTACCGATCACCCAGGGTGTGCACACTACAAATCCCTCCAAACACAACAACAAGTACATGGCCAACAGCTTCCTCACTTTGACAGCGGACCAGTGGAGATCTCACAATCGCTTGTCCTGCCAAGTTACACATGAAGGGAACGTTGTAGAAAAGAGTGTGTCCCCTACAGAGTGTCTCTAGGAGCCCAGCCTTTCCTTGGCCTAGGGGTCCCAGAATGGGGTCTCTTCTCTGTGCTACAAATCTCAACCTTGCTCTTTTACCCACTGAATATTCAATAAAATATCATTGATCAGAAGAACTGCCTTATCACATTTGTTCTCCTTATATGTTTAATTTTGAATCCTTTGAATCTACAATGTGTGTGTGTGTGGGGGGGGGCATTGGATTCAGGTTCCCAGTGAGAAATTAGTTCTTCTTTGAAACATGCAGAGGGTATTACCCTAAGAGTGACTTTTCCCTTGCTCTGCCCTCTTCTCTGAGCCCCGTGATGCAGGGACACTCATTCAGAACGCAGCTGAAGTAAGACATCATGTTTCAGGCTAAACAACTAACTTAATATTACATAGGAAATCCCACAATTCTGTGATATAATTCAAGACATTGGTGCTCATGGTCCTCTATACTGGAGCATGAGGTGGGATAACCACTTAAGCATAATAACTTCATCCAATGGGAAATGGATCCAACTCAATTCCTGAAGGGGTTCCAATTAATTCTTCATAGGAAGTGGTCTCAGAGTCAAATTCCAGACTACTCAAGGTCATGTTGAGTGAGACTTCAAGGAAGACTTAGTGTGACCTGAGAGGTTAACTCAAGCCAGTTGCTTGGGTAGAGTTAGGTGTAGCAGGCAACCACTTCACTGGCCCAAGTCCTCTCATGTGCATCAGCACACCAGTGTGCACTTCAGATTGGTGTCAATCACAGTCTTTGAAATTCACAGTCAGCCTTCAGTGGCCCAACCTCTGTCCAAGTCAGCAAGGATTTAGTGTTCAGGGCTCGGAGACATCATCCTCAGTAGCTCATAAGCAATATGGACACTAACTACATCCTGAACTCTGGTGGATTAGGCAGTGCAGTAGCATAGTCTGCAAAGCCAGAAATATTCTTCATCAATGAGGCAGAGTGACAGTTGACAACACTGAGCTTGACTTCAGGCCCCAAGTCCCCAGTTTCTGAGCTAGGAAGAACCTTTGGGATTTGTGCTTCATGGCAGCTTTCTGATGCTAGGGCATGATAAAGTTTGTGCCCAATAATTGGAAGTGAAGACCCTGAGTATCCTCACAGTAGTATTCCTTGCTAGGGTCAGTGCCAGCACTCATCCGAACCCAGATATTGCCCAGAGACTCACTTCCTCATTCTTTTGCTTCAAGTTTTCACTGACAAATTTGGACACAAAAGTTAGGAAACACAGAAATAGTAATGTTCTCATATTCCCACCAAGCAACTTCTAACACTCATTTCAACTGGATTTTGATTCAACTATAACATTGAACTCTTCCCTTATACTGTGTTACAAAAGCACATTCCAGAACTTGTATCTTGTCTGCTATGATTATATATACTTCCAGGTTTACAAAAAGAATGCCTAGACAGCATATCAAACTCCAAAAGAAGTTATTGATTGTTTCTTGATATCAGGTAATAGTCAAGTTGTCATTAAATGACTGTATGATGTGACCATATATTGCTTAGTAATGTATGATTGGTAATGATTCTACCATGTGTAGGAAGATGAGATGTGGATTGAAACTGATGGTTGTGTGTGTTGTCCACCTGCTGTGTTCTGCAGGGTCTCAGGGCTCTGTTTTTGTTCTTCACCAGACAGGAGCTACAGAGACTGAGTTAGTGGACTCAAGACTTTGCATAGACTCCATGCAGTTAGTAGCTTCCTTGACCTGTTACCAAGGGCTCCTCTCTGTTCATTCTTATCCTGTAAAGAGCTTCTTCTAAAGAGTGGGTGGAAATTTTATGAATGACTTCCTGGCAAGGCTGGCTCAGAGGACATGTGGGATCCTGGGAAGCAGGATCTTTTAGAGAGGTCACTGTGTATCCCAGAATCATCAGAGACTGCATATATCACAGCTGAAACTGGAGGGTAAGGTGCATGTAGGGTTTTTGCATGAGCCTATATCACAGTGTTGGGTGTTCGGCGGAGGCACCACGTTGACTGTCCTAGGTAAGTGACTCTTTCCTCTTCTGTTACTGCAATCTCTAAGGTTTGAGATGATTTTTTTAAATTTAATTATTTCTCATTCTCCATACTACTTCATGCTTAAACTTCATTCTAGGTAAATAATCTCTTGCTTCTCTAGTTTCTGCAGCTCACCTCAGATGGTTCCCTGTCACCTTTCATGTCTAATCTCAAAGAAGGGGGGGGGAGATAAACTGTTAATATGTGTCTGTCATTCTGTTGAGATATGCAGTGCTCTGATAAGTACTCCACTGTGTCACTCTCTATGAGTGTCTATCTTTCTAGTAAACTTTGTGAGGGCTAAAGTGAATTACTATGTCATGGGGAAGGAAGGCCAGAGGCACAGAGGGAGAGGCAGCTGTTGAGTTAGGAGAACATAGAACACTCAGCATTGAGGCTGGTGAATAACATGTCAGAGGTCAGGTAAGCTGGAGATTCAGTTCCTAGGACAGGCAGAAGAAAGGATCCCCAAGCTCCCATGGAAAGCCATGAATAGAGCAGTAACCAAGCCAGAACTCAGGAATTTTAGTAAGGAGAAGAAAGGTAAGGTGGCTCTGGACACAGGAAGTCAAGAGAGAGAGACTGAAGCTGCAGTTAGGAAGCTGGGTTCCTGGGTCTCTCTAAGACACTGGTTAGGAAACAGAGAAACTGCATTCACATAGCTCTGGTCCTGATCCATGAAAATTACACAACTCATCCAGAGAAGGGATCTCACCTCAGTCTGCAGAATGAGAAACAGTTCACCCAGATCCATGCTACACTGAGCAGAGGCCAGGGACCTACAAGGCACAGATTTGGGTAAAAACACACTCCTAGGTTTAAAGCTTAGACTCAGCAGAGGGTTTTACATCAGAACTGTCTTTGGAGTGGGACAGACAGACTGCAGACATATTTAAAAAAAACAGAAACAAGGTTACAAGGGCAGGAAAGTGAAGGTCAGTTATCTTTGTTGAAGGTCAAAGTACAGGCAGGTATCAAGTGAACTACTGCACAAATATGGGGTGCATAATTCCTAAGAACATAGGGAGTATATAGAAGAAATGCATACCTCATCTTCTGTACTCTGTGTGTTCAAACACAGTCGCTAAACTCAAGACACTTAAAATGCTACCTCCAGGATTCCTATTGGAAAACTAAGATTCTGACCTTCTCTTTCTCTACCCTGCAGGTCAACCCAAGGCTACACCTTCAGTTACGCTGTTTCCACCATCCTCTGAGGAGCTTAAGACCAAAAAGGCCACACTGGTGTGTGTGATGACTGACTTTTACCCAGGTGTTGTGACAGTGGCCTGGAAGGCAAATGGTACACCTATCACCCAGGGTGTAGAGACCACTAAGCCTGTGAAACAGGGTGACAAGTACGTGGCTAACAGCTACCTGCACTTGACAGAAGAAGCATGGAAATCTAAAAGCAGTGTCAGCTGCCTGGTCACTCATGAAGGGGACACTGTGGAGAAGAGCTTGTCCCCTGGAATGTGTCCCTAGGCCTTTCAACATTCATCTCACCCACACAGGCTGGGATTTGAATCATGCACAAGTATACCCTTACTGTTCTTGCCTAACATAGACCTTTACCCTGCTCCTGAAATGCACAATAAAATATCCATTCTCAACTTGTAATTCTACTCTAACTCATTTGTTTTAGTGTATATTTCACTGGGATTCAGAGTGGTGTGGGGATGGCCTGGCACTCTGAAGTCTGCAACTAGGGTTATAACCTGCATCATCACCCCTGGGAGTACCATCTCCACACAGACACATTTTCCCAGCCCTCCTCTGGAGCTCTGATCACACCATGCAATTGTACAGTGTGAATGTCATAGACTTCCCTAATTTCACTCTTTAATATACCTAATCGCATGCCTCCTCCATTTCTAACAATCTATTGGCACTTAGTCATCTTGCCTTAGAATTACAGTTTGGAGACTGGGACACTTCTATTATCTGTGATCTCAGTTTCTATTACTCAAGTCAAAATGAATAGATAGTACTGGGATATTGGAAGTTTATTACACTCAATACAAACAAGTAAAATCAAGCTAGATAGAGTGTATTTGGGGTTCATGAAGGCTGAAGTATGGTTGTAATCAGCCTTCATGTGAATATGAACTAAGGCAAACAAGACATGATTTCCAGTCCAAATGTTAACAAAGGCATTCAGTGCTGAATGTGAGAGACTATGACAAGTTTCCACTTCAGAACTTGATTCTGGGATTTGTCATACAACATCACGGCAGAAGGCTCCAGGCATGACTAAATATCTGGGTACCCTACAGAGAACAAGACTGTCCCTAGAATCCCCATCCCACCAGATCTCATTCTTTCCCTAGCTCAAGGCTTAATATTTCAGGGTGCACCTGTATCCTGAAGTTATCACAGGACCCTACTAGGGGACTAGGTCAAGCCCCTAGCAATGCAGACCTTGTTCAACACCATTGTTCTATAATTCCTAGGACTTAGGGACACAGGACCAGGGTCCGTACTAAGTTTATTATTGAGAAATCAGCCTGGTGACTTGGCCTAAAAGATCAGGGAATATTTAAAACAGTGGTATGAGCAGAAATAAGGCAATACTACTAGATCCTAGACACACCAATTCAAACCTTAGTTTCTGCATTAAAAGGGTATTCAGTGGATTATGTTGTACAGCAACTGACTTTAGTTCATGGTGGTGATTCAAAGTTGAATTTGTGTCCTTGGTTATATTGGAGTCAATGCCAGCTCCACTCTCACCCACCAGCCACTACCTATAGGAACACATTTTCATCACTTTGTTGTTACATTGTAAAGACAGAATTTAATTCATTCTGTGGGGATACACCCATCATCACATAGGCATGCCACACATCACTTATCACAGGATTCCTATTATTTTATTTTAATATGACCCTTAACAACATCTTCCCTTTTGGTGCTCCTGATACATGAATTTTCTCTTCTTTATGATGTGTTAAAAGTTTAATAGAGACACAAAACAGCTGTGATCTCAGTATACTTGTCCTAATGCCCAGTGGTCAGATGTCTTTTGGTTGTCAATGTGGCAGAGCATGATTTTTGAATTCAACATTAGTTTATGCCCAGACTACTGGTGGGATGTCAGAGGGTAGGAGGCTGTATACTGGTGAGTCACCTGGGTTCAATTTTTCCCCAGTCTTGGCAGGAACACTCCAAGAGAGTAATGGAAGTGACTGGACTGAGGATATCAATATATTGAAGAGAAAATGAGAAGGGGACAAAGAACTTTTTACCATGAGAAAACAGGCCCTTTTACCTTTCCCAGGACAAGCTTGACACCTCAACGGCCATGTAGCTTGTGATTCCTAAGTCAGAAAGTGGGCACATCTATATCCTACACCTGGAATTCCTGAGGGTGGGGGAAGTCCTGATAGGAACTAGTAACAGGGACGTGTTGAGAGAAGAAACTGTCCTGATATGACAGATCTCCCCAGACCCTCAGGATGACATTTGAGCAGGATCAGCCCCAGAAGAATATAAACCTTGATATATGAAAACTTCTGGGATCAAATTCCAGGGCTTGTCAAGTGTTCTAATAATTCAGCGCAGCAACTGCACACGTTCAATCCAGAAAGGGTCCCAGCACTGACAGGAGAAAACAAACATGATTTACCATAGCTAACAAAAAAAAGCTATCTCCAGTTGACAACTGCTTGCAAAGAATAAAAATTTTCACCAATGGAGTCTCACTGGAGGGTATATAAACTACATGCAAGGCTTGGCCTTGTGTCCAGCAGTAGATGGCCAACATGAAACAAACTCATTGGTGATTTTGAGGATATTTCATCTCATATTGATTTGGCTATTCCTTATCTCACAGGTCCTTTGCTTTGTTTATGTTTTATGGTTTCTGATTATGTGTTTTTATGATTTTTGTGTGTGTTGTGCTTTTTAATTGATTTCTTTAAAAAATCAGTTTTTTTATTTGCCTGTCTGTTTTCTAAAGAGAGAGAGAGAAAGAGAGAGAGAGAGAGAGAGAGAGAGAGAGAGAGAGAGAGAGAGAGAGAGAGCGCACAAGAGAGAGT